CATGGGGTCCACTCCCATGTCAGTATCTATATGGTTTCTTACAAGCAGAAAATTTCTATAAGAATATTGGAACTGTTCTCTACTGTTCTTTTGCAAGTCAAACATGTTTTTTCATATAATATTTAAAGGAAAATCTACTTAACCATAATATATTTGCATGACAGTCCATTATATTGATAAAACTTGAGATCATGCATAAGAAATAATTACATTTAAGATCTCTAAATTCCCACGCAGCACAAAATATTTTAAATATTTTATTGCGAAAATAAAGTTCGTAATTTCACTTTTCTTTTTTTTACAATGCTATTGTTAACAAAGTTACTTAAACATTGACTAACCAACACTATCCAAATTCTGATGCAAAACGTTTTCACGTGCGTTGTATTTATCATATTTTAAATTTGATTATGCAAAATGACTTTAAATATATAGTAACAAGCATTTTTAATTGGACAGGTTATTGCTCCTATTTCTATCTTTCCATCGCGCAAATAAGCATTTACTAGTATACATTAATATTCAAACTTAATTACCCGACATTATATTTGCAACGGATATAGATTTACTTATGTAAAAGCTTTAAATTATCGAATATTTGGCCCAACGTGTAGAATTATACAATTAAAAGCAACAAGTCATTTTTTAATTATCTCGAAATGGTAAGATCAGATAAGTCGATTTATCTTAAATTTGAATACCACAACCAATAATTAAAGCAGTAAAGAACGCCAAAGATGATCATAGAGAAACTCCAACTAGGTAAAAACTCTGGGTACTTTGTCAGTCAATAATCCACTATAAATCGAAGCAAACTTACAGTTCGATCTAGACCCATCTATCTTGTAGAATTTCTGACCTCAATTCCTCCAATCTCCCTTAATCCTACTGAAAGTGTGCTCCTTCAAAATAAATCTGGACTCCTAATTTATACCTTAACCCTCATAGACTACGTACTCCTGACGCTAGATCTCGACTCCTGATATCTCACCTTAGTCCTCTTGAATTTGTGCTTCTACAACAGTTCTCAATCCCTAATATTGATTTATATGTGGTTGATTAAGTGGTTTGGTGTTTGAGCAAAAGTTCTTGTGTGTTTTGATATGTGGTTTTATATGTAACAATATGGATTGATTAACAAAATATATTTTAGAAAAACTTATGGATCAAGTAATACATGGTGGTTGAATCTTGAAATCAATGATTGTTTTGGAATGATCTCTATGGAATAAATATAATTCAACACACTTTTCAAGGAGTTAGAATTTCCGCTACGTCAGTAATGATGAAGGCAAAATAATAA